AGAGGGGTTGAGCAAAACACTCATTCCAAACCAACCAAGAAGAGGCGTACGAACCACACACTCGGTGGTGGTCACCGGTTCATTTGGGCATTGAGGTGCATTGAGCACCTTGGACATTTGACCCTATCCAAAGGGTGAAGGATCTTATTAACTGGACACCGGCCCTCAATGGATTGCGGTTTTCACACCGCGCTGCTGCCTTTCGGATCAGACTTTGGCTAGCCGAAGGCTCCGGTTGTGGATTCCTAAAGAGAATTAACCTGCCTTGGTCTGGGCAGGGTGGTAGTATTCGGCCCACATGCAATTCATGTAACGTTTTTCTTTTTCATAAAGATTATGGTACTATGATTTGTTTGGCCCAGCCTGGATTCAGACGTGTGTGAATATATATATATATATATATATATATATATATATATATATATATATATATATATATATATTCAACACCAATCTTTACAGATACGGCGCCAAAAATAACCATGGGTGAACGAAAACAAATACAGGTAAGAAACCTGGATGCCCAATTGAGCCGGTGGCCACTGTAAACCAATGTGTGGGAGTGTGCGGTTCGTACGCCACTTCTTGATTGGTTTGGAATCAGGTTTTTTGACCAACTACCGTGGGTGAACTGCCAGTGGTTCACCAACCCGGGTGTGCTTTTCGTCCTCTTACATTGGTTGGAGAACGCCTCCGCCACGAAAATGCAGTAAGGTGTACTCAGTAGAGTCTATTTGAGATCCTTTGTCGTGTAGGAGCATTTTGATGTGCATTTGAAGATTGAGCAGCTGCAACCCGAGACACTCCTTCCCAACCATACTGAGACTTTCGGAGGGCAGAAGTTTAACAAAAAATACGCCTATTCTGTTGATTAGACTTGCGACAAAAGTTTACATGCGGGATTCAATTACATGAATGACCAGATGAGAGATTACCGGACGGTAAACAGCAGACGGGGCGAACCCCATAGTCACGAAGACCCACTGCTCCGTTATGGAAACCGGTAACCTAAGCCTCGGGACGTGGAGTGGCGAACCACATAAGGCCCCGATAGGTTAGGCGTGGTATTGAACCGGACGACAGTAAAGCTGTCTACCACTAAATACTACAATATATATGACATTCTCACAAATTACCATACAAGATGATCGGATGAATGCTGAAAGTAAATCATACTTCTTTGGTTGCTTGGGCTTATCTAACTAATCTGACCTCGGCTCGTCTATCGTTTTTGGTGGCGATCAGACGCATGTTAGGTTGAAGGGTTTTCGCACTACACTCAGGTTCACTTTTATCCAATACCTGAAATCATATGCCGGGTAGCCCTTTGTGTAGACTTTTCTATCGACGTTTTACTCAAATGGCCACCACGAAGTTTTGTCTTGCAACCTGGAAGACAGGCGTTGCATCGCGTCAATATTGGAAGTAACTGGCTGATGACTGTGTAAACGGAAATTTTAATGGTGGTATTATTGCTTAATGATAAAATTTTATTGTTAGCAGTGTCCTCAGGTATCTGATCAGCATTTCAGAGTGCTGATTAAACACAGAAAACTGTATTTTGTCGACCCAGTCGCATAAACAAATTCGCCATGCAGCTTGGCGGTTCAGTAGGGATCAGGAGTAACAAGATGAAACGTCGCTTCCTACTCGTGGAGGGCTAACTTGTACATGTATATTCACCACCGGCTGGAAGACAAGCATGATGCCAACGCAACAACAATAATAACAATAACAACAAAACGGGATACGCGGATTGGGGTACAGAAAATAGTGAAAAGGGGGTGAAACAGTTAAACATGGGAAAGTACAAGATAACAGAATTTTTTGTCTCACCGTACAACTTGTGCAATTTTTTTACGGGGAACGGAATTTTGACAGATAGACAGCATTCGCGCCACTAACTTCTATTCTGTGCCATATCTCAGCGTCTCTAACCGGCAACAATCATCCCTTGGGCCCCAGCCTGGAAGGCGGGCT